ACTCACTTGTATAAACTCAATCTATTTGTTTCACCAGATGGAGGGCTAATATAAAATACAGTGACTTTGCTAGAATCAGACATAAAATTGATATCACAATGATTCCTAATGTACCTAGCTTTGGTGCTGCATTGTTACAAATATCTAAACTATTACAAGAGCTTGGCACTATACAGTTCCTACCGTATGAACTCACGTAAGTATAAACTCAAGCTGGGATATGATTTAAAACTGTGTTTACATTTGCATTCACATTCTTTCTGTTTTTCGTTTCGTTTCGAGTGAAGGGCTTTCCTTCCCCATCTTCCCTTTCTCTTTACTAAAAGGCAACCTGTTGCAACTAAATTATATTTCATTCAACTTTTTGTATTATTTTTTTTATTGAATTGTGCTCTCTATGGTGAAAATAACTACTGTGTGGCAAAAGTTTAAGGTCACTGATGTAAATAACTACAATTTTTATTAAAATCAGTAAATAAGAAATATTGTCACATTCATCAGAGGCTATTGCTGTGGTTAAAAATGAACACAAAACCTCATTTTTTTTGCTGAATCTTGTCTGTATGGTATTTGGCTCTGTAACCTGTATAAGTCAGGCATAGTTTTGATGTATCCCTATAACATGTGTATTGATTGCATTGCAGGCAATGTTATAACCTCGTTCAGTTTGAGCAAAATATTGTGAACAGAAAGAAGGATGCAGAGGTGTTACTAGAGAAATTCTTCAAGTAAGTCTAAAATATTTTCAAATGGTTCAGATAGTATATTGGATAAATGCAAAGCTATGATAATACTAACAAGGTGTTAAAGTTGTGTTGTCTCCTACCTCTTGTTGTGTTAATTGGGCCATGAACCAAATTCGTCATTCACGAGTTTGCTATGTCAGGTCCTGATGGCTAATTTTTTTGCTTAGACAACCTGAAATTGTGTGTTACATTGCTGTTTTGAATATTGCTTTGGATGCGAGCTAACACAGCTAAACCAGGTACATAATGCTAAAAGTTTGCTCAGACGTAGATATGAACATCTATTTTACATCAAAGTTTGCTTGACAATAAATGTTGTGGATTGTCATACATTTTATTGTCATATATTGCAAAGGAAGGATTCTAAATGCACAGGTGCAGGGTAATGTGTGTTCAAAGAGAATGCTTCACAAAAATGTTGTTTTTTAAAAAAGACTGTATTCAGTCATTCCTCTGAAAGTCCTGCATTGAATTCGGTGAAGTACCGGTAGATGATGTCATAAGATGCTGAGAACTGAATCAATCAATATACACATCACCAGTGATGGTAAAAGAAACAGATAAGCTGTAGCTGTTTATAACATGTAGCTGTTTTCTTAGAGTACCTGTACAAGAACTCAGTGTCTATCACAATCATTTCTTCCTTCATAACTCTTAAATCACAACAAATTTCTTGCAGTCAAAATGTAATGATTTATCATTTAAGCTATAATACTATCACATTATTTTATATTACAGGTTCTGTAAACTTGTAGTAGACGTGACATGTGAACAAACTTTTGAGAAATTGAGATTCTGTGAAACACAAGCCAGGCATCAAAAAGTAATCTTGTAAGTATTCTGTCAAAAGGATATGTAAGGGGTGAACTATTACAAACTTGGGGGGGGGGGGTAAATTTGAAAAAAGAACAGCAAAATTATTTTGCACAAATGAATTGTTACTCCAGATAGAGAAAATAAATACACACCAACTTCATCATGGGGACCCCCCCCCAAGCTTCCAATGGTCTACCCTTACCTGGCTAGTTTAGTGCTCACCTTTAAGACCATTATGTAAAAAAAAAAACTTCTACACCTGCATATTTTGATAGTCCCATCTTTTCACAAATCTTATCAGCTAGTATTTTGTCATTTCTAATTTGATATTATTTTTTTACTTCTGTAGTTCTAAGGAATCTTTGTATTTACAAAGAGTAAAACGAGAACAAAGAGAAGAGAATCTTTACTTGGCAAGGGAGGAGACTGGGTAAGTTGAAAATGAATAATGTATTATTGCATCATATTTTATGAAACTCGTGAATATTCAATAAAGTACATATCCTTCGTCTCAATTTAAGGTAGTTTGCTGAATGTACCATTAAAACTTATCACCATTTTATTTACTTTTACCATAGGGTTTTATTTTATGCTGCTGCTCACAAAGTTCAGAAAATAAATTTCAGTTACTGAACAACTCTCTAAACAAAAATGTGTCAAACACTAATGAAAATAACAATTTTTAGGCCATTTGCCATTGGTTCCTATGATAAAAAGATTTTGTGATATCTTTAAAATTTTGTTTGGATACCTATTGTGAAAACATTATATGTTGTTATAGTTGTCCTGAATTATTGTGAAATTCTGAGGAATACTATTTTTATTTTTACATTCAATGGTCTCATCATTCTAACATTATTTTACAGCAAACTTGGTAATTTTGTACGATTGGTTGACCAGATGTTGCTGGCACACCTGGTTGCATTGGCACGTGTCAATATCAGTACGTTTGTAGGCGTTACCATGCAAGCTGGCAAGGAGGCCAACCGAGATGCTCTCTATAAAGCAAAATTGATATTCACAACAAAACGTAAGTGCCATACATCTGATCTTTCATCCTGTTGGTTTGTGAAATTTAATATATGGCTGTGAAAGTGTTTTTTAATCCTTGTCACAATTTTAACTTGTTCCAAATTGATAACTGAAAAAAGCAAACAACTGTTGACAGTGAAATTTTTGATGTTAATAAAAGTGTACTAACATTCTCATTTGTGTTTTGTATTTTGTAGATGCATTGACTGTGTTTCCATCCAAAGATAAATTCACAAACACCATACATCAAATACTGCATAATATTCCTGTAGTACTGTGTGAGATGGCACAGCCAATGGACTTGGTTGCCAGTGCACCGTCACCCACACACAAGTCAGAAAGGTACATGTATGATAGTATTCAAGTCAGTTTGATTTAATTTTTTGTTATTCAACAGTTCAGCAAAGTCCATTTTGGTTTCACAGAGAATCCTTGATGATATCTTGTGTGTCAGACAACGTTCACATTTCGCAGTCGATAAGTTAATTATTGGCATCAGATACATTGTAGAAAAAAAACTTTATTGCTATTACCCAGTATACTTGCATTACGAAGCTTGTGTATTGCCATTCCTATTGGCCAAGGAATGTTGGGCATCCCACTACAAATTTTTGATATTTTGCAGAGTAAAAAGTTGCATAAAAATCGAGGGTACCCTAACTTATTTCCATGGAAAAAATGATTTAGCGATTTCTCCATGTGTTAGACTTTACTTTAGCAGTCATTTTGTGTTGAGAAATGTATACATGTACAGATTAGGTTAATAATTCAAACACCAAGTTCATTCTTTGAAATAACCAATCAGAGAGAATGATAAGTGTGTTCGCATTCTTAAGGTCAAAGGTCATCACATGATCAGGCTGGCTCAAATCCATCATTGTAAACTCATACTTAAGTAGTATATTAATTTTTCATTTTAAATATTTGTAAAATTATTATTACATAAAAACAAGTTTTTGAGTTTCCTGGTTGCTACATTCTACATGTGAGACCCTTTTCTGCAATGTTTTACACATTTAATATACATTCTCAGCTTTTATTCCTCAAAAATGTTAGCAATTTACATATTGTTGATACTAAGGTGTCACAAATTATATTTTTGTCTTGCTTCATGTGTGTGTACTGTAAATTACATTATTTTCACTTGGAATTTATTTTTGCTATTTGCACTGAGAGAATGAATGAATCAGTGAAAATAAAAACATCTTTTTCCATTAGTTTACATTCAGCTTGTCAAATATCAGTGTAAATAAACTTCATACAAAACATAAAAAATTTCTTTTTCGCAAAAATCACACATGGTAGCTAAGCAACCAGTGAACCCAAAACATGGCATTTTCCATTCTGCATTATGGTCACCAACTCACAACTAACAATCACTTTCTTATATCACCATCACATTACTGCATGCAGTTGTAAATCTACTACAGCATCTGAAGACAGTACAGACACAGATAGGTACAGAGTGTGGTTTTCATTTGCACATTCCTTAGTGCATGTTTATAGTGTTATGAGTGTTGTGTTATTGTGGGTCTTCCTGTAGTGATCTATCTTTATATCAGATATAAAGTGTTAAATTTACTCTATGCGGTGAAACCTGTCTAAGACAATCCACCTGACAGAGTTTTTACTGTATTTACTCTATTAGAAGTGCATGAATCCACAATCTGCATATATTGTATGCTGAAATATCACTTATTTTGACCATAGATCATATGTATAGACACACCTCATTTACATATTAGCACAGGCGCTACTACCATAGAGAAAATATGGTATACAAATGTGCAACAAAAGAAGTTAATTTAAGGATGGATGTGACTAGCTAATAAATATTGCTGATTTTTTAAAAGTGCTACAAATTCTTGATGTTTTGCTCAGTGAAATGTTCCATGAAATAAATGACAAACAGCAAAAAAAAATTGTGTTTACTCATTGATAAACTTATTTGCATAAAACCATGGGACCATTTTTGATTGGATAATGAGCAAAATTCATACAATTGAGGTTTATAATTCAAAATCTATTTTTTTTCTTTTGAATTTTGAACAGCCAATTACAGAAAAAAATTTAACAAAGTTTCAGGATATTCTTGTTCTAAAAGTTTATTAGCCGTGACCATCTTTAGTCATGAAATACTGCCTATTCACAATTTCTGGTACATTCTGTAGGGATGTGGGAAGGGGTGACAGTTTCTCAATTGTTTTTTACGTAAAAAATACAAACAGTTGTCGTAGAAGTTAAAAACTATTGCTATTATAAAACAACACACCCAGAATGTGCCAGGATGTGTGACCTTTAGGAGGTCAAGCAATAATACCTATTGTTATACATACTTATATTTTTGATAAAAATTAAATATTGATTAAAACTAAAAAAAAAGATTTGATTGCTTTAAAAATTTTAGTTTTTCCTGGATTTAATAGAAATTACACATTAATCATTGTATAAGTAAATAATCTGTTCAGTGCAAAAACTAATCACTTTCTTGATATCACATAGCTAGCTTACTTAAACTGAGAAATTATTGTCAACTTATTATTCATTAATTAGTTAATCACCTTCCATATAAAGACTACATATTTTAAATCAATTTTAAAGGTGATCACTATACACAGGTTTGACTGTAATTAGCTAAAGATCTGGATCACAGTTTTCGAATAAAAATTGAAAAAAAATGTCAGGGTATATTTGACATGACAAAATGTTTAAATGGGTAATTAAGCACATAATGACAGGTTTACAGCTTGTTGTGCAGGTGGGTTCATTTTTTTTTGTTCTGAGCTCACAAATCTACATTCAATCCATTAAACTTTTTAGAAAAATTCCAGGAATATTTTAATTAAAAAATAATTATTGTTAAGCTTTCTTCATTTTTGCATGCTTTTACCAGACAAAAAGTTTAAACTCATGTGTTGTGCTTGTCATTAGATTGTTCAGTTTGAAATCTTTAGAATAACTTCTTAAATTAAATTGCTACTAACCTAACAATATTTTTGTTTGATGTATTAACAGTACATTAACAAAGTCTGGTTTCAATACAACCGATAAAACCCAATCATCAGGAAATACCACAAAGACAGATGACGAATCAAGTGACGCAATAATGAAACCGCGTATTGATTCACCAGGTATGTCAGTCTTGAAGTTGATTACATCACTAATTTTAAGTTACTGTTTCTGATATAACTAAAGCATCAAGTTAAGTTGGATGCCTTAGACAACAATAATAAAGTATTCTATATACATTTTTTTTGTGTTTATCCAATATCAAACATTCAAATGTTTTTATGTTGAAGAGTAATGATCTCATTCTATCATTTTCAGTGGAAGCAACTAAATCAGAAGATGAAATCGGTGTTGCCACGCCGGACCTGTGTGTACGTCCTGAGACTGAGATGCTAATAGGTGGGCAGGGATTTATGGGACAGTACAGTCCCTTATCTAAAGGAAATCTAGCTGATAAATTATCAAATGAGTAAGTACTTGATTGCATTAATTTTTGTAATTAATTGCATTAATGGTTTGCTAATGTCATTGATTCCCTGCTGTAATTAGCCCACCCACACAGTGTCATGATTTTATTTTAGTAGCATCCTTTTAATAGTTAAATGCTAATAACAATTTTGATTTTAATATACATTACTTAAAGTGACAAGTGTGCAAACAAGTATGCTCATAAGTCACAGTCACGGATTGATGAGAAAACTATCCTGGTAGAGAAACCACCCACTCCAGATCAACACTCAATGACCCAATAATGGCTGACATGCTGCCGAGTCATTTATAAAGTTAAAATTAAAGAGTCTTTTCAATTTGTACAAAAAATGTGACATTTTATTACAATATTAATTACATACCATCATAATTTTCAATATTAAAATTATCAGGTTCTGTGGGAACACAGTTGAAATCAAAATCTTCTTCATTGTTGAATGTGTTAGATTGTGCGCAAACTCTCAATGCAAAGCAATTTTGGCCATAATGGAATTTCCAAAGGCATTCTGGTAACACAATGCAGAAGTGAATAATTGATGCTGAAGTACAATCTGTTGGAACTGATTTTGGCACTACTTTTTTTCAGCACGATTTTAAAAAAAAGAAGTGATAATTAACAAATTTTGAAAGGTAAAACGAATATGGAATGAAGTATTCACTGTTTTCACCGTTGTTAACAGGTAATTGTCAAAGTGCAGTATACGTCTAAATCCATGGCATATTATATACATTTGATTACCTGTATTTGAAAAAAAGTCAAAGATCAGGTTTTAAACCTTGACAATCAAATTGTAGGCATTTTGGTCGGGATATGACCCTGAAAATGGAAAGTAGGTGTGTGTGTGGGGGGGGGGGGCTTATTTGAGCATGGTCGCTAAATTAAGACAAGTATGGTATTACCAGGTAATCAAAATTTGTATACTAAATCATAATATCAATGATTTTTGTTGTTTTTGAAATCTAGGTTTTAAAATATCAGTTGAGGTTGATAATGTCCCTATTTTCTCCACAATTCTTGTAACCTTGTATAATTAAAAATACTATTTTAATTCTTATATTTCTTTGAAATATTTTTTCTTCTCATTTACATGTTATTCATCAAGAAACTTAAAATTAAAATTTATTATGTGCATAAATCAGATTATATAATTATGAGGTTATTACAAAGATGCTACAAAGTATAGACAAGGCAGCATAGCAAAGATCGATGAGAAAATGCACTGTCTGAGTGCATACTTCATAGTCATCTTATTAGTATACATTTTTCAAATCTAACCACTTTGTGTGCGAAGCCTAGAATTGAGAAATCTGGGGAAATTCAGTGAAACTTTCTTTATATGAACTTTTAATTAATCATGTCTGCCTTCTTTGAAATATTGAGTCCATGAAATAGAAATATTAGTCTCCTAAAATTACCTGCAATTGAATTTTAAAATGTTTTTGAATATTGTTTCTACCATTGATTATATGCACTCTTGCTGAAGAAATCGTGTTGTCAGTAATACAGTGCTAAATCCTAAAGCAGTATAAGGTTTTAATGGATTCACTATGTTTTTTTCTTATTTTACAGTGAGATTGTCTCCGAATACCTCTCCTTGCATACAAGTATCATGTCATCTTCTCTGTCAGACATTGATCAGTTTTGTCAAGAACATGCCTGGTTGGCTGAAATTCACAAATTTGTGAAGACTTGGAATCGGGATTCCTGTAAGGTGTTCCAGAGAGCTGAGGCTTATACTATTGAGGTATGCAGTTTGTGTAATTAACCTTTTCACCACCAGTTTCCTTTTTTTATCACAAATTCACAAGATAGTCTGCACTTTCCTTTAGAAGAGTGATACAAAAATAGCCAGGTTTTTTGAATAAAAACTGAAAATCAACTTAAATTATGTCTTTTGGGTCAAAAATTAGTGTTCAATTCCAGAAATATTGAAGAATATAAGAAAAAAGTGCAGACAAATTTGGCCGAGAAGTATAAATGTTAGTCTATTAATGTAACTCTTTTTGTAAACACTGCCCTCTGTGTTGAATATATTAAAACAAAAACTTGGAAAGATTGAACGAATGTTTTAAAGTATTCAAAATGTGGATCTCATGCATGGTATGTAACATGAGTACAAAAATTCTAATGCACATCACCAATTTTTAAAAACAAGGGAAAAATGAGCCTCTATGTTAAAACATTTCATAAAAACTGAAAAATATTTGTTAGAATTATACATGTTTTTTCACTATATGCACTATTGGAAGCAATAAGTAAAAGTCAAGTAATCTGGCAATAAGTTTTAATAGTAGTCAACTATTTTACATCTTTCATCAGACAAAACTGGGTGAAATCCGAAACTGGACGGAACAGGTGAAAAACGTGGAAAGATACTTTGTCACTGAGAATGGTTTAATATATGTTGACTGTGGAGCAATACAAGAAGACATTATTCCCGGTCTCAGCGGGGCATTCCGAGATTTACTCAACTACACTGCTCATCAAGCTAAAAACTTGTCAACAACTTTCAGTACTGAAGTGCAAAGAGTTGTAAAAGTAAGTTTTATACATGCTAAGTTTTTGTTTATTACATAAATTTACTTTCATGTAATTGGCATAATTGGATTAGAAAAGGAACATCCAAGATATGTGTGTTCTAATGCATGGGGAACACCATTGGTAATTGTCCTAATGTTGAACAAGCTTTTATTCAGTCAGTATTATATAGTAAAATGTTTGCACTAAATACAAAAGGTGCATGGTATAAGTGAATGCATAGTGATCAGGCTAGCATGTATGTTAATGCTCATACAATATTTTGCTATGTGTGAACAATATGACCTATATGTTGTGTTATATGATTATCTGCCCTATGCGCATGCTATGCTTTATTGTAGTGTTCCCTTGCAACGTATCATTATAGTTGCACTTTGAGATCATTTATATAGCTTTGTTAGGGTCTTGCAGATTACGGCAAACATTCAAAGATTTTGCTCTTGTTCCTAATTAGTGCAGCATGTAAGGATTAATTAGGTTCAGATGTAAATCTTTGTGAATCTATGTCAGAACACTATTCACAAGTTTTATTCAACACACATTTGGTTGTTTATATTTCCAGCAGTTTATGAAAATTCAGATTATCAAATATACCCGGTAATAGTTCCAAAACCATGATAAAGCTTTGTAATTGATGTCAGAATGTAATATTTCAAGTTTTCTGCTTTTTTCATTCCAAACTTATAACTTTATACTGTATTATCATCACCAGGGTATGAGAGAAAAGAATACAGATATAGAATCATTTGCGGAATATGCCAAACAATACATGAGATATAAGAACAAGACAGTGGACTTACAGACAGAAGTGGAATATATCAAGTCACTCTTTGAGGTGAGGTGGAACTTTGCCAATTGTGTTTGTTTTTATTTTGGCACTTTAAGTCTCAACAAGTCAATACTCCTGGACACAACCAGATCAAATTCAAACATAGTGAATTGATGAAACCATTTTCCATTATGATTTATGGATTTGGCTTCAAAATAAATTCAGATTTTAAGCCAAAGAATTGTGTATAATATGAAAATGTTGATTGGATTTTATCCTGGCGCATTCTACATTTGAACAAAGTGAATTCTAATTTGACTACAAACATGCAATTCTATTTCCAAAATAAGCACCCCTATCATATATTGTTTTATCATATATTGTTTTCCCCTTCCAATATCTTATTATGTATGTACAGATACCTAAAAGTCCTGCTTTCTGTATGTTATGAGTGACAAATACATTTTTTTCTTTCATATTTTACAAACATAATTTGAATGTTTGGTACAAAGCTAAAGCTGGTATTGTAAAACATCTGCCTAAACTATATACTTTTGATGGCTGGAAGTGTACATTTGTCTTACTGTTATTCAACATCACCCTGTTTACCAAATATTATCTTCTATATATCACCCTGTTTACCAAATATTATCTTCTATATATCACCCTGTTTACCAAATACATGTATTATCTTCTATATATCACCCTGTTTACCAAATATAATCTTCCATGTATCACCCTGTTTACCGTACCAGATATTATCTTCTATATATCACCCTGTTTACCAAATATTATCTTCTACATATCACCCTGTTTACCAAATATTATCTTCTATATATCACCCTGTTTATCAAATATTATCTCTTCTGTTTACAAGATTGAGATCCACTTTGGTTTAAGAGGATTGCATAATTGATCAGAGCCCAGGAAACTTATTTGATCCTTGTTCTCTGCCAATCTTGATTGCAGGTCATCAGACTAAGCTATAGAGCACTGACGAGTGATGAAGAGAAACATGAAGAGAAAGTCTGGCATGCTTGGGAAGCTTTCCTACTACAGCTACAAGATGCTTCAGAGTTTGTGAACACACAGACACCAATAGTAGCACAACAACTTCAAGAAACATTCCGGGTAAGTTTTATTGCCAGGAAAGTCATTCTCAAAGAAATAAAACAAATTTATCACAGTAAGATCTGCAGTGAAGTTCCCCAAAAATATACCAAAATAAATCATTGCAGCTGACACAATTGTCACTGGCCTTACCATCAAGTGAGTATCAGTTTCCATTCACTTTCATAAACACTCCAAGCTTTAATTTCATTTTTGTTAATGTTTTACTTTGTAACTAACCTGTATTATCCACATGTTTTATGTCTCTAGAATCTAACTCGGGAGGCGGAGAGGATTTGTAAAACTGCCACTACCGGAGCTTTCCTAGATCCCTCACAGAATCCATCCAAGTTACTGACGCACATGAGAAAAGTAAGCAAAGTCACTTGTACCAAGTGTTTCTTGTAAGCTTTATTGTAAATCAATGAGGTTATAATTTTTTTAGTAAATTTGGACAATATGAGAAACTATTAAGTTCATTCATTGATTGTGTATTCAAATACACCTGATTCAAGGTGGTTGGTTTTGAAATCACAACATTTCTCAAATGTCAAATTTCGTGGAACACTGATAACAACCAACAATTTTTACCAAATAGCACTCTTTAAATTTACTTGTACATGTATTAATTATATAGACACAAATTAATACACAAAACAAAAACATAAACTATATCCTTTATGTACAAAACAGACCAAAAAGTTTTGCCTACATAATTTTGAAATATATTCCATGCAAATTTGTTATCGTTAAATAGGTAAGTCGCTGCCACTTTTTGTTAACTGACCTTTCCTATGCCAAAGTCAATTTCATCATCTTTCACAGAAAAAAGCAGGATAATTTGTTTCATATTTATTCAACAAATTTAACATGTATGCTAAGTTAGGGTAGGGTTACCTTAAAACCCCTACGGTTACCTTGAAAAGTGCCAAATGTTGAAACAAAATTTTGGCAGCAAAATTATGGCTTTCAAAGAGTTTAAAATAAGGCAGAAGAAAAAATTATTTTTGTTTTTGATAACTGTATGTTATTGATAAATCTCAAACTTTTATATTATGCAAAATGCTCAATTTTTCTTTCATTTTTTGTGCAAATTACCCACAAAAAAATGTTTGTTCACTCTTTTTTTAACATGACTCTATGGAAATCACTCTATTATGGCTAACAGCAATTGGTTGTCATTCTTGCTTAATATTAAGTCTGTGTTAAATGCATGAAAGTGTGAATTAATCTGTTTTCTCAGCCATAACATTAGTATCTATTCGGAGGTTGTATTCATCAGAATCCATGATATTATTTATACATTATTAGCTCCGTGAACAGTTTGATGAAGTACAGACCAAGATGGTGAAGTACAGTAAATACCGTGAAGCAATCCTTGGTGAGCCTTATGATGTATCAGGATTGACTGACATGATGAAAAGGATGGAGGTCCGAGCAGAACTCTGGAAATATGTTGAGGTTTCTACTTTTGCAATCCAAGAATGGATGCAACAGTTGTTCAAAAGGGTGAGTTAAGGGAGCATCAAACGGTGAATTTCCTCTGAACTAAGTGTCGTCAAATTGACACCCCCCCCCACAAATTGAATGCTTTGATATTAGTATGCAAATTTAGTTTAGTAAAAGAAAAATAATTATGTTTATCATGTTTGCAAGGTCAATTATTTTGCTCAGATTTTGAGATAGGGTAAATTATTAATTTAAAAGCAATATACATTGTATGTGTGTGTGTGCACAGGAATTATTTATTCAAACATCATAGCAATGAAGAAAATTTGTCATGTAGTTTTGATATTGAGAAAAGTTAAAACTTTATAATTTTAATGATTCTGTTTTATTATAGTTTCATGTGAATAAAGCATTGGATAAGATCACTGAATGGCAGCAAGCTGCTGGTCGATTGAAAGACCGTATTCCACAAGGGGATGAAGTGCTCAAACATTGGTATAAATTACTGAATGATTTCAAACAAGACTTGCCACTGCTGCAGAAACTGGCAAGTGACTCACTCAAAGTAAGTGATTTCAATACACAGTATATTTGTTATATCATTTAGACTACCGTAAAAGCCACATCCCTATTGGAGTCGCATCCATTCTTTTTGAATAAATGAGAATCAAAAATTCATCATTTCTCATATGTGTAGATGCTCTAATAGAAGCCGCAGCTTCTAATACAGATTTTACAGTACTAGAATGAATGTGTACTATTTGTGACTTTCACAAAATGAAGAGTACTTTACCTTGAGATTACCATTACTGTCTTCTCAGCTGGTGGTGAGTTGACACAAGAACTATCCTGTCATTGACTGTGATACAAAATCCATCTAACACATTACTCTGCTAAGAGTGATGATGTATTCCTCTCAATACTTGTGTATGCTTTTGTTGTCCTGTCCCTCAGTATTGAGTTTGTAAATGGGCTCTGAAACAGCTGACAGGAAATGATCATAAGAGTGGGTAATATGCATCTTCAATCTGATAAATACTTGCTGAATTAATAACTATGTTGTATGACAATTTGTATGTAATGTGAAAAAAGACTTAATAATAATAACATTATACATTACTGTGTTCTCTCTGCAAAAAAAAAAAAGGGTTCAATGCCTTCAATTTGTTAGTGCCTTCCTTGTGTAACAAAACATTTTCTATAGTTCTTGTTTTCCAATTACAACTCAATAAAGTATTAAATGATGTAAAAACTGAAATGATATTAGGAAAGTAGAACAATTACTACGCTTTTTAATGAAAGCCTGTAATTTGTTGCTTGAGTATTAGTGCTTCATGCCACAACTGTCATCCAGTACATTTCCATGTGGATTTGTCCATATTTGATATAGATTCTGTCTTCGACTCTTGCTACCGGGTAATACTATGATACCTCTCTCAGCGTACTGAAACAATTGATTGAACTTTGTAATAAAATAGAAAGAGATCTTAAAATATTATTTAATATTTGTTTTTATTATTTTCTCAGCCGAGACACTGGAAAGCTTTATTTGTTGGTATGGGACAGATCTACCAGCCTGGCTATGCTTACACTGTAGCTGATTTGCTATCATTCAACCTCAATGAACACAGTATGTTGATCAATACTATATGTGCCGGAGCCACTGCGGAGTTTGCTCTCGAACAAACACTGAATAAACTCAGAAAAATGTGGGAATTAAAGGAATTTCAGTTAGCAAAGCATATACCAATTATCAAGGGGGCTAAGAAAAAAGGTCAGTATATAGAAAAATATATAGAATTTAAAATAAAATGATTAAGGAAAACAAGGTGAAAATGCTCTTGTCTTTATTGTTGTCATCATCATTTGTTTTATTCAGACATTTCCAAATATTAATAAACTGTATTTATTCTATTAGAAGCTCATCTCTAATACCCTGAGTATGCTAAATCTTTAAAATATTATCTATTTTAATCTCTGTAATTTATGTCAGTACGTGTGCTACTAATAGAGCAAATATGTATAATGATCATAGAAATGCCTTTAATTTATGCAAGTGCATACATTTTTAATAGGGCAAATATGTTTTATGAATGTTTTACAATCTTGAGAAAATTCATTTTGTTTGTATGCCTGTATTTAATTTTTCTGTACTCGGCTCTCAGAATATCATATTGTGATGCTTTCATTTCACTATTTCATGTTAATATGTATTTTACATTATATTTTATACATGGCATCACAAACACATTGCAGCCACAATGACTGCTGCACTTTGAGTACTGATAATCTCTATTAAAAACTATTTTAGGTTTGTCACTTACATTAATTCAGAAATCTTTCCAATCATTTCAGAATCACCCATCCATAAAGGCAAGAAAAGAGGACTGTTGAAGAAAAGTCAGGCTGAATCACGACAACTTCCTGATATGTACACATTGACTGGTTACGATGATTTGAAATATCTGTTACAGGTATGTCACTGTTATCTCAAGGAGATGAATTGATCTCCTACAATAAATAAAAGAGAGGCTACACTGTATAAATATAGTTGCTGTGTTCATGGTTCTTTAGTTACCAGGCTATATTGTGTGTGCAACAAATTCTCAACAAGGGTGGTTATAGTACTGCCCTAGGCTTTTTGGACAGAATATAATAGCCTTAATCTGCTACTTTGCGTCTGGTTCATCTGTAATACTTGTATCACTGTCAACTCTATGCAGGATAATCAAGTGACCATACAGAGTATGTTAGGATCACAACATTTAGCAGAACTTAGACCTGAAGCTGAGAAATGGGAAATCATTTTACAAGACATTGAAGACATGACGGATCTATGGATTACTTCACAGACTAAGGTACATTTTCATGGAATTTATTTCATTCACTCACAATTTTTGTATATTAAAGCTTTTTGTTTTAGCTCAATCTACTTGCAAGCTCATACTCATTCCAGATATAGATTGACACTAACAGTGATTCCTGGGTCTGTCCTGATCTAGATTGAAACTGATTCCTGGGTCTGTTCTGATCTAGATTGAAACTGATTCCTGGATCTGTTCTGATCTAGATTGAAACTGATTGCTGGATCTGTTCTGATCTAGATTGAAACTGATTCCTGGATCTGTTCTGATCTAGATTGAAACTGATTGCTGGATCTGTTCTGATCTAGATTGAGACTGATTCCTGGATCTGTCCTGATCTAGATTGAAACTGATTCCTGGATCTGTCCTGATCTAGATTGAAACAGTGATTCCTGAATCTGCCCTTATCCAGATTAAAACAGTGATTCCTCGATCAGTTCAAAGCATCTGTAAACACTTTCTGTAGAGATGTATCATTTTGATGGATTGTGTATTTGTGTTGCCAAATACATTTCAGGGTTTCTCTTTCCGTTAATGTATGATGCACAAATATTTAGTGTTGTCTGCACATACTCCATATCTGCACATTTAGATTTTTATAATTTCATTGTCTCTTTCAGTGGCAGTATTTGAGTAAAGTATTCAGTGACCCAGAGATGTGTAAAAAACTACCTGAAGAAGCAATCAAGTTTGAAGACGATGTGGATTTGAAATTCCAGGTCAGTTACACTTTCTTCTTCAACTGACATCAAATGTTTACAAGGAAAATGTTCTTGCTAGGTCTTGTTTCCCACTTTTCCCTCTTTTCATCTCAGTGACCCCATATCTCAATTCCAAATTTTAGTGCATTATGTCAGGTTGTCCGAACATGCACACTGTGTAATTTGTGTTCAATCAAGGTTTGATTCAGTAAAAACTATCCCACAGTCCATAATGATTTGTTATTGTGATATAGTCTATGTTTGTATAAATGTCTGTGTCATGTGCAAAAAACCATGGAAATTCCTACTGTCTGTTGTGTTCATTTTGAATCTGTTTTTCGTGTTTTTCCAGGAAGTGATGAAGGCTGTTGCTGGTGATTCCAGAGTTTTGTCGATTCTAAACAAACGAAAAGGAGCAAAAGGATGGAGAGAACTGCAAGGGGATCATCTTAAACAAGTGTTCCAGACCATCATAAGAAAAGCGGTATGTGTACTAAAGTTTAGCTGATCTTAATACAGTAAACCGTGCAACCTGTATTAAACCTACACTTTTTTCCCTTTCTG